GAGGAGGAGTTGGAGGAGGAGGAGTTGGAGGAGGAGTTGGAGGAGGAGGAGGAGGCGGAGGAGTACAACATGCTCCCAGCCCATGAATGCCCATGTCGAGCATACGCCACGTAAACAATACATCACTCACACTAAACAGACAGCGTACGCACACCTTGTGCCCCTCCCGCCCGCCCGCCAGGCACACACCCCGTACGCACATCGTACACCCCTCCCGCCCGCCCGCCAGGCACACGCCCCGTACGCACACCGTGCACCTCCTCCCCGAGGCCCCCCTGGCACACACCCTGTACACGCCCGCGCACACGCGCACACACGCACACAGCCGCACACACAGGCACACACAGGCACACACATGCACATGGCACATACGCGCACACAAGCATAGGCCATGCGCAATACCTGACCAAAGCAACCGCAGGCAACCACTAAGCACGAGCTACCAATGGCGACCATCTGGGCACTTGGGGGAACCTGGCGACTGCATCCATGTGCACGCATGCACGCTGGTTGCAAATCCATGCGCGCGCGTGTGCACGCAAGCTCAGAGAAGCAGCGCTTCCCGTTCTTGTCCTGAAAGGTTGTTTCTGCGGTTAGCAGTGGGTTTTAGAGAGCTCTCGACTTGCTTCCCAGGGACAGCTCTCCACCCCGGAAGGGCCTCTGCGGGTCGGAGCTCCCGACAGAAGGCGGCCACGAGCCGGAGCAGCAGGGGAACGCTGGAGACGAAGGCAATAGGCTGGAGGTTGATTAGTAGGTCGACCCTGCCAAATCAAGGGTACCCTCGTGTCCTGCGTTTCGCGACCCATGCCTTCTGCATCCCTGCGACAGTGTGGCCCTCGGAAGGGTCTCGTGTCCTCGCGCGTGCCCTTTCCAATCCGCCCCGACTGTCCGCTGGAGGTCTGAGTCGGGAGCATCGTCAGCGCCTTCACGCCTCTCCTCGGGCCACTCGCCTTTCGGGCTTCTGGAGCTCGGGGAGGGCGCCCCGCCGCGCCGGTGGCCCTGGGGCTGCACAGGGGGAGACCAACAGCAGGGCTCGAGCTGAGCGATGCTTTTGGTTGGCGACTTCGTGGACCGTTGGCGTTTCGATTTCGTTTCGCAGCAGAGGCAGAATGAGGGCAGAACGAAGGAGGACGAAGACACAACGACAGCGAAAAACACTGTTTAGCTCGAGCCCGGGTTTAGAAGCGTCTGGGGTAGTCCGGGAGGATCTAGAGACGTTTCGGCGCCAAGGGGACCGCAATCTTAGCTGCCGAGCGTCTCGAGAGGGGCGCGCCAGTGCCAAGTTTGCCGCGCGCTTTGCGCGGTGCTGGCGTTGGATTGGCTTCTCGTCTGCCTCCGAGAGGCCAGGACCCGGGAGCCGACCCCACCGCTGTGTGAAGAGATCATGGAGCAGATGCCTCGATCGTGGGCCCCCCTGGACTGTGCCCCCCTGGTGTGCCCTGGAGCACCCGAGCGTGCTCTGCCGCCTCCTGCTCCATCCGCGTGCCGCTCTCGGCGGGAAGGGGCCTCTCATTACCAGCCTCGAACGTATCCCTATCCCTAAGATCGACACGCCAAAAGGCGATGACAATCTTAGGGATTCGCCCTCAAAAAATCAGGGAATCCCTAAGATCGCCACGGTGACGAGGCGATGCCCAACATAGGGATAGGGATGTGCTCCAGGCTGGTAATCTCGGGGAGGAGGAACGGCAGGGCTGCTCACGGCTCGATCGGGCCCCGTTGGCGGGGGCGCCCCGGCTCGGTCAGCGCCAGCTCGAGGACTTCTGTGGCGGCCATGTCGCGCTGCCAGCGTGCCTTTCGCTGCAGGGGTCGTCCGGCCGCTCGCGCCGGGGAGCCCGGCTCTCCCAGACGCCGATAGTTTTCTCGGGCCAGATCCTCGGCCTTCGCTCCCGTTCCCATCTTCCTCCTCCTCCTCCTCCTGCTCCTCCTCCGCCTCCGCCTCCTCCTCCTCCTCCTCCTCCTCCTCCTCCTCCTCCTCCTCCTCCTCCTCCTCCTCCTCCCCCGCATCTCGGTCCGACCCGATCCGGCACGAGCCACGCACCGGTGCCCCTCTCCGTCCTGCAGGGGCCGAGCCCGGTCCCTCTCTCCTCTCGGGTTTCTGCCCCTGTCCCTTTCTCTCGCTCCCTCTCTCTCTCTCTTTTTCTCTCGGCCATGTCCTCTCTCCCCCTCTTTCTCTTTTCTCTTTCGCTCTCTCTCTCTCTCTCTCTTCTCTCTCTCTCTCTTTTTTTTTTTTGTTCTTATCTCTCTCTCTCTATATATATATATATATATATTTATATGTATCTATACATTTTTTTGTTTGTTTTTTTTGTGTTTTTCTTTTTTTCCGCTCCGTCTCTGTCTATCCGAGCGCCATCTCCAATCTCTCACTGTCTATCTGCCTTCGCTTCTCGTGAGATGACTCCCTCTTTCTCTCTCTTTCCCCTTGGTCTTTCTGTCTCTCCTTCCCCCCGATCTCTGTTTCTCTCCCCCTCTCTCTTGCTCTCCCCCTCTCCCTGTGCCTCCCTGCCTCCCTGTCTCTCGGTCTCACCACCTTGTGCCCAGCAGTCCCCTTTTCTCTCTTATTGTTACGATCCAGGGGGGTGGGAAAATCTCCCCCCTGCAAAAGGGACCCCTCCCGGATCCGTGGCCCCAGGGGCCTCCCCGGACGCCCCTGCAGAAGGTCCCGTGGGCTTCCCAGGGCTTCTGCAAGAGCCCCTGCTGGGACCATCGGCGCCGGACCAAAAAGTCGGTCCAGAGGGCGGCCGAACGGGCCCCGAGGCCCCGCGGGAGCCCCGGGGGAGCCCCAAGAGGCCCCAGACACAAAGGATCGAAGAAGAACGAAACGCCAAAAACAGAAACCTTTGGCGCTCCGCGCGGCTTTCTTGGATCCGCGCCTGGGCCCCCTGGCGGTGCCTGTGGCGCCGCCCCTGGCGCGCTCCGCGCGCCAGTGAGGGGGGGCCGGCGCGGATCCAAGAAATCTGCGCGGAGCGCCAATTGTTCATGTTTATGTTTTTTCTCTTCCTTTTAAAGAAGACACTCTAAGAGACATTCGAAGCGCAAGAAAACCTTAATTTTCAGATGTTCTTCCATGATTTTGGGACTGTTTTGTTCTTCTGTCTGCAGGGCGTCCGAGAACGCCCAGGAGGCGAGAGCATCGCTCCCGAGCTACCCAAAGGGGCTTCCAGGCAGTCCAAGAGAGTCCCAAGACGGACCAACTCGGGGGTGCACAGACCTCCTACTCTGTCACGTCGATTAGCGAATTGGCCGTTTTCGGTTCGCGAGAGGGCGTCGCGGCCGTCATTTTTGCGGGTCCAGGTCCGTCGGTTTCGGTCCCAGGCTGTTTTCACTAAGGGTGGTTCACTAAAGGGAGGTTTGTCCACCGCCGATCAACAGGGTCCCAAGATGGCCCGAAGAGAGCCCCATGACGGCCCAAGATGGCCCCAAGACGCCCCCCGAAGCATTCCAAATCGTGACCCAGTTGTTCAGGGAGATCAGTGTTGGAAGCAGGGTGGCCCGAGGAAGCCCCCAGAGGCCCCCAGAATGAACCCAGGAGGCCTCCAGAAGGCCCCAAGCAGCCCTTAAACACTTTCGTCAGGCCCCCAAGAGGCTCTCGAAGAAGGAGCCTCCGCAAAAAGAGCCAAGGAGGGTGGCGACAACTCCGCAGTGTAGGGCGATAGTGGGGAAGAGG